CGGACGAGATATATTACAAGATATACAGGATACATCCAAAAATATTCATGTTGCGGTTAGTTAAATTTACGATTGATAATAATAATTACGGTCCATAGTTAACGTACCTAATTTACTCTATCTATTTCATTAGATTATTAACATGGAGTTAATGTTGTTGAGAAAACTTATTCATAATGGATCCCCTCGTGTCTATAAAGAGTATGCAATCCTAGATTTTTCATTCAAAGATGAATGTACTCGTCATATGATATGGCAAGACAGTGTGAAACAAGGAATTTCAAGTGAGAATCCGCCAAACTTTCAGGTTCTCCAAAAGTACGTAAGTGGTATATTACCTGTTATTGAAATTCCATGGATAACATGTAATTATCTACTGATACCATGTTCAATCCTGGTCAACAATTGGTATCTTTATCTCGTGGATATACATGGGTGGAAATTTCAAATATATGATTATAGCCACAACATCCACACACCAGACGAAGTAAAACTACATGCAAAAACAACATTCAGTTTAGTTCAGGGGTTANTGAAATGCAATTATCTACTCATACCATCTTCAACCCCAGTCATCAATTGGTATCTGTATGTTGTGTATATACGTGGGTGGAAATTTCAAATATATAATTGTAGTCACAGCATCCACACACCAGACGAAGTAAAACTACATGCAAAAGCAACATTCAATTTAGTTCATGGGTTATTGATCTCTTCTGGAATATTGTCTGCTAGACTTGAGTTAAGAAAATATATAAAAAATATATATATATGAAGATGGACATTATGCCTTATCTGCCTTGCACAAACAGTGTATAAGCATTTACCATACTAATTATCATGGTATTAAATTTATTGTTCAATTTACTTTCGTACTAACAATACTAGTATAGTCTAATACTATGTTGTTTCAGCCTAATTGTGGAGTTTTTGTGATGAAGTACATAAAATGCTTCGTTTTCGGACAACCAATTGAATCAATTTCATCGGACAAGATGTGTGAATGCAGACGAAGATGTTGCTTTCAATGAATATTTCCTACATCCCAATTAAATGTTTGTAGAGTTTGTAGTGATAACTGTCCGTGTGACTTATGAGATGATCCATAATAGTATTAATTTATAATTTGTGCATCGCACCGGTGAAAGACTAGTTCTTTTGGTACGTTCTTAGTTTTCAAGAGCGGTTAATTTTTCAAATTTATACATTCGTTCACTCAAGTTTATACTCCCTGCTAAGATGTTTTGGTTACAGTATAAATCAATTACTTGAGAGAGAGAGAGAGAGAGAGAGAGAGAGAGAGAGAGTGAGTGAGAGTGTAATCCCCATGCGAAAAAACCCTAAAGGGGTTGGGTACATTCTGTTGAAATCTAAGTCCTTGTCCCAGTTGCACTAGCATCCCTCTCATATCTAGTTCCATTTCACAGTTTGTCGTAAACAAAATAGACGTCATCCAATCCCCGCTTCATGACAAACTGAGCAAGCTCAGTGTGAATGTGTGAGCACGAAAAGCTGCTCATTTACGTGCACAAAAACCATAACTTCTCTCTTTGCATATCCTCATTTGTCAGTTTTGTTCGGATTCCTTTTCTCTTTCAGTGAGAGTGCCGTGTCACAGCAGATATAACACTTGCACTCTCACCAAAGAAAACATATTCTGAAAACCCACTAAGAAATATATATATATATATATAAAATCCTTCATCTTGAAACTGATTTATCAAATAAAAGCTACAAAATCTTGCAATATTGTCCTGGTCCACCTCCAGCCTTAACCCAATCCTTCCTCCTCATTGTGCAGTGACATGTCTCTAAAATCGTCAACTCCGTCCTGTCCTCTGCTACAGCTTGCAATTACATTGCCATTTGGTAATCCATATCCAACTGGTGCACCTAGGCAGGTGAAATTGGTATCTTGCAGTGCTGAAGAATGGCTAGAGTTGGAGTGTGAATAAAGCAAGTTTTCGGGGTCGACATGGCCAGCAACAAAGTAGTCATTCACCAATTGTCCAGGAGAAGTGTACAAGTAAGGATGGGGTGGAGGCAGCGGCAGTCCCGGTGGTGGAGGTGGTGGCAGTGGCGGCAATCCTTGTGGAGGTGGTGGAAAAAGGGGTGAAGAACCAGAAAACACTCTTGTTGGGTAGATTGATGTGTATGGCATTGTTGGATCACCCATAATATTTCCATGTGGAATTGGTTGGCCACTACAAATAGTACAAGCTCGTCAGGAACAGAAAAATGCATTACTATTGAAAAATCGACAATCTTTTTTCAAATGGGAAATCATGTAAACATACAAAAAAAACCCTTTCGAAATGTCAAGAAATGAAATTTTAAAATTAAATAACAAAAGCTATATCATGTTACAAAGAAGTAAGAAAAAGGGAACAGCCTATACCTGGAAATATACCCTGGATGATGAGCTCCTGGAGATAAATCACTAGTGAAGACCAAATGGCGAGCCTTGTTCAGTGTTTCTGTCTCCCTCTCTGAGGAACAAACAGACAACAGTTATTTACCAAGAAATAAAGAAACTAGACATAAATAGTTGTTTATAAACGAGATTGACTTGACAAGCCTTCAGGGAAAGGAAGAAATCATTGGTAGTCAAACAATATTTTATAAACTATCCTTTATTAATTGATTTGAAAAAGAGAGCTTTATTTTTTTGTTTGATCGGTAGGACTACCGACTGTCTATTGCAAGTAAGAAATCGATTTTAAATAGTGAAATGGAATAGATTGAAAAGACTTGCCTTGGCGGTGGCGGTTCATGTGTCCCCCAAGAGCTTGAGACTTGCAGAACTTCACTGAACAAAACCTACACTCATAGACCTTCCCAGATTCATCCTTTTCGTCCGTAGTACTGCTTCTCTTTTTCCTGTAGGCTGTTACAAATATTCCAAATAAAGCAACCTTGATGAGACTAATCTTAACCTAAACCCGCACCCCTTATTGCCATAATCATGAATCAGTATCCCAGCCAACAATTTTGCTGCCTTTTACTTTTTCTTTCTAGGGTTTCGTTTTATAAGTCCAAAAGCCAAAATAAATGGAATAAAAATGGAATAAAAAAATATAAAAAATCAACTAGATGCAGTAGCCATTTAAATGAAAACCATCCTTTTAACATTTAATGTTAATAATTTATAATGTTTTGAAACCAAATAGGTTTTAAGAATTTCATTTGGAACCAAATGGAACACTATCGAAAGACACAGAAGCAAATGAAGTGAAAAACCACTTCCTATAAGATGAAATGTTTTTTTTGAAGTATCAGAGCCATCAATGATACTGTAAGTTTACTTTTATTGTACCTTTAGCTGGAGAGACACGACACAAATTAAGTGATCTACCAGATGATGAAGAGCTGTCATCAAGGATCTGCCTGCCTTCTTTTAAATAATCTTCCGGTAAGTTGTTGAGGTCTAATGGATTTCCTTCTGATCTCCTAAAAAACAAAACAACAAACAGAAAATTAAAGAGGTAAAAGTGTAAAAAGATAAAGAAGAAATTGAGGAGCTGGTTGTGGAGTTTGTGGGGGTGAGACCTACATGGTACAACAAGATAGAAAGAGACAGAAAAATATGAGGGGATCAAACAAAATTTTCAGATTGAAGATAACTAAAGATTGGAAAACTATAAGACTTCAGTTTAAGGCTGAACTGTAGAGACTAGTTGAGTGATGTTGAAGAAAGGAGTGCTTGAAAGTTCTCTCTCAGTTTTTTTCTGCCCCTCCCGCTGGGGACATTTATCTTTCTGTCTCTATCTCTCAAAGATCAAGATTGAGCAACAGAGGATCTCGTGACTTTAAAAAGGAGGGTGAGGAGAGACTTGGGGTAGGTGCATGGTAGTGCCATTTGGCTAGAGTTGAGAAAGAGAGAGAGTGATAGTGATATTGCCTTATGCTTTTGGCTTATTAAGGTAGCTAGGTTTGTTGCCTTAAAACTATTGGACTAATGTCCTATCCAATATATGCCGAGGAAATGAGATGAAGACAAATATATAAATATATAGTAAATGAGGTACACAAGCAATTTTGGAAAAAAAAAAAAAAAGTTCTAAGTTAAAATTAACCATTAATTTTAATCACATAT